GGTTTTGGGGGTTCCTCCATGTTCTAAGTAAGAATCCCACCAGCTATCTACGTGCATTTTGGAAAATCCTGTGTATATATACTATTATATACTCTATTTTGAATATTGTAGTTGTCCGGCACTATATATTCATATAATAAAAACTTTCCAAACCTGATGTTCGAATCGTATGTACATCGCTATATATATATATACACAGAGGTTTTTGGGGGTTCCTCCATGTTCTAAGTAAGAATCCCACCAGCTATCTACGTGCATTTTGGAAAATCCTGTGTATATATAATATATTTTGAATATTGTAGTTGTCCGGCACTATATATTCATATAATAAAAATAAAAACTTTCCAAACCTGTATAATATGAATCCCATCCCAATTAATCAAACACCCACCAGAGTCCCCATGGAGGATGACCTCCTTTCCAGCGTTGTGCTTCTTGGTCACCAAGACTCCGCCCCAATTGACGCAACATCACACCTCCTGTATATATAATATAAATATGCAGTGTTAAGTTGTATGTATGTATACATATACATATATTTACATGTATATATGATGGCGTGTTCTAAGTAGAGGATCCTCATATGTTCTAAGTCACTTAGAACATACGTCCCCTATTCGCCGAAAATGTTCTAAGTAGAGGGCGCGTACCCACCGAAAAAATTCCAAAACGATGTTCTAAGTAGTTGTCCGGCGCTATACATAGATAAGAAGGAACTTTTTCTCACTGCCACTGCGATCAAGTTGGACTATTCTGCCTCCAATTTCAGTGTGCCTACACCGCCACTGCAGCCTTTCATCAGGCTGGAGCTGGCCGGCCAAGGTGGGGGTGTCTGGGACCAGTCGCTGAGTGGAAGCAAAGTCAATTGCAGAGAGTGACAGTGAAGTGTCATTGCAGTCCGCTGTCAGCAATGCCTTGGAGAACTAATACGCTTACAGAATATAAAGCTGTGCATGTTGGAAGTACAGTTGATGCGGCTTCTGAAGTTGAGCCTGAGTCGGTGTTTGGGTCGGAACCTCAACAGGGCATGGGCCTCACCAATTTGTTTTGGAAAAATCGGTTGAAGATGGTTCATCAATTGATGGCTGGGAAACTGTTGGCAACTGCGACAGCCTTGAGTTGCAAGATGCGGAAGGTGAACAAACCTTGAACAGTTTTACCAAGGGTAGGTCTGCAACCGCAGCAGCGCAACTGGGAGCTTCGCAGGTGCCTCGTGGACCAGTCATTGCTGCTGACAGTTTTGCACAGATGCTCACTCATTCCTTTTTGCACAATGTACAACCTTTGAAAGTGGAAATGCCTTGGGAGAAGGGCGTAGCCAAAACCATTTTTGGAGGGAAGTTGTGCAAGTTGCAACCACCTGCAACTCAGAGCAGAAGGTGGGTGAGCGCAGCCTGTCAGCAGGAGAGCAGGAGGTTCAGGATCTTGCCAAGCTGCCTGAAGTGGAGGGGCCGGGAAAGCTGCAATCAGGCGCAATTTTTGAGCGTGCCCTTTCAGTGATTTCAGACAAAAACTTTCTTGAGAAACGCCAAGACCTCTTGGACAAAGCAATCGATAAGTGGTTCTGCATCATTCGTGTGAACCTGCTGGGGTCGGCAGCTGGGAGAGAGATTATTGGGCATGGCAATCTGGCCGAGCAGAAGGCAGGGGCTTACAACATCATTGAGGCAATCATTGGAATACGGTCTCGAACTACTGCAATAGCTAGAGCAAATAGCCTCCTGAAGTTTTTCAGATGGGGGGCATCTGCAACAGAAAGCGATGGCGCACCAGTGTCGCAGCAGGACGCATGGATGTACCTTTCACACCTTAGGTCATCAGGTGCAGCAGCGCCAACAGTGGCGAGCAGCTTCCTGTCAGCATGTGGTTACGCAGTGCATGTTTTTTGGCTTCAGTGATTTTGCAAGCGTTTACAACAGCCGAAGAGTGAAGGGCCTGACGGAAATCATGCATGCTCAGAAGAGCCAGATCAAGCAGGCAAAGGTCTTCACGGCGGCTCAAGTCATGAGGTTGCATGCTATGTTGGCTGATGCAAGTGTCAATAATGTAGACAGGGCTTTGGCTGGTTATGTGCTGGTGGCTCTCTACTCAAGGTGCAGGCACAATGACTTGGCCCACGTGGATTCCATTTATGCGCATTGTGATGAACATGGAGGGTTCGTTGAGATTTCAACGCTTTGCCACAAGACGGCGAGGACTGCATCCCAAAAATTTCAATTTTTACCCGTCGTGTCTCCAGCCATTGGTGTGGACGGTTGTGAGTGGCCATCATTGGTGATGAGGGCCTTTCAGGAGTGTGGTCTCACTTTTGAGGGCAGGGTCAGGGTCAATGGGCCCCCCATGAAACCCCCAAGCGCGATCCTTGCAGGCGAGGTTTGACATCTTGTGAAGTCACGAAGTTCCTCCGGCTTCTTTTTGAAACTGCTGCAGATGATACTTCAGCTGCTAGAATTTCCTCCCACAGCCTGAAGGCCACCGTTTTGTCTTGGGCATCCAAGGCGGGCCTTTCGGTGTATGACAGGGCGGTGCTGGGCAGGCATTCGAGTGCCTATGCAGAAGCCCAGGCAATTTATGCCCGTGACTTGGTGATCAGCTCCGTGATGAAGTTGCAGCAGGATCCATCAGATAGTCAGGGGAGAGTTCATTCCGGACAGCCCCAGAAGGGGATACTCTCCAGAGGTTCAAAGTGAGCCTCCTGAAATTTTGCAAGTGGATGTTGTCAAGATTGAAGACGAGGAGCTGCCCGAAGAGGGCAGTGCAGCCACTCAGCAGTTGCCTTTGGAAAGTGAGGTGGAGCTGCAGGAGTCTTCAGAGGACTCTGCCTCGGATGAGGGTTCTGGAAGTGACTCAGATTGCGGGCCACCACCGCCAAAGTGCTATAGGCACGAAACCAAAGGTGCGTTGGCAGGTCGCTTTGCTGCCTACAAAGTTTCTAGGCTTGTCCACTACAAGGACTCTTTGGTGGACCCTGGGGGAACGAAGGAGGCAAAGATGCTGTCATGTGGCAGGGCACTCAATGGAAATTATGTTGAAATTTCCCTGTTCGACTCGGTTGCAATGTGCAGGAGGTGTAGGATCAACGCTGTGAAAGATGGCATTTTGCCGCAGTCAGGTTAAAAAGTGGAGCTGACTCACATGGTGAGGCTGTGGGGAAAAGCACCCCAGGGACATGATGCATGGCATCTTTCAGTTTGATGCATGGCATCAGTTTTTGGCATGTCCGCTGGCTCCAGGTTCATGTGAGCGTTGATATGAGTTGCAAGGGTTGGCATTGCAAGTTAGGCTAGTGATTTGAGACTCACGTGTTTAGCATGGAATGTTTTTAGGAATGCGTGGATTTGCACTCTCAAGCTTTTGGTGATTTTGGTGAACTGCGGAAAATTTATTGATGGTTAGCTTTTTCAATTGTTGACGTGAGTTGGTGCATTGTTTGCATTCATGTTCATGGTGCTAAAAACTTGACATGTTGATAGGAACTCACTTCCATTGTAGTGACTGCGGTGATGGCCAGGTTACTGGATTCAGAGGCGCAATTCATCCAACGGACACTGGACCTGAAGTTCTCGGAAGAGCTTAAAAATGGACTGCAAAGGGCTCAGTTGAAAACCTTTGGCACTTGTGCATATGCTCACGGACAGCCAGGGCAGAACATCAGTGACGACTCATTTGAGACATGGTTCACAACGAATGTGCTCACTGGAGCGAGTTTGGCAGACATAGCTGGAGCGAAGAGATTACTTTTTAAAAGCCAGACGATGGTGCTGGCGGCTTTGCAGGACCAGGTTAGCATTTCTGACCACACTGCTGTCAAGAAGATTCCAGTAGCAGAGCGTGAGACGAAGATGAAGGCCCTGAAGGCCCAGTTGTGCGGGCTTTTGATTGAGGGACCTCTGGAGCCTGGACATTGCCTACTTGATGTTGCAGCAAATATGCTTCAGTTGAGTGAGATCCGATATATCCCGCCTGAGCGTTGTGTGTCCAGAACAAACGAGGTCCTCGACCAGAAATCACCGTCGAAACAAATCGACATTGCAGCTGAAAGTTTGGTGGTCAAAGAGAAAACGGAAGTGCCAGATATGGTGGCAACATCTGCCCTCCAGGTGCAGGAGGCACTGCAGAGAAGGGGGATTGCCCAAGTCTTTGCGGAATTGGCGCAGCACAATTTATACTTCAGATATTTGACTTCTCTCTTCGAACACCTTCACCGTGAACCTCCGCCTGGGTATAACAGATGTTCGGTCAGCCAACTAGTGGCTGCAGACAAGTTGGTATGGCAAATCCTGCTTGAGGAGGGCGTCCAACCGAAAAGAAGCCAGGCGGGAACACTTGCGCTTGACACCAAGTTGCTGGAGACTTTGGAGAGTTTCAGGGTATCCTTTAGCTTGTTGCCACTTCTTGCAAAGAAGGAAGGAACAGGCAACATCCAGAAGAAGATCAAGCCACTCCATTCTGGCTTTGGTGGAAAAGGCGCACCAGCAGGAAGAAACAAGCCTTGGCTGAAATCCAAGGGAGGCAAAAAGGGTGCGAAGTCAAAGCAGAGAGTTCCGGTTCATATTTTCAATCTGGGAGGCACAGCAGCCAATCCAGAAGGGGAGCCAATATGCTTCGGAATCAATTCAGAAGGTGGATGTGCAGACGCAGCAGAAGGTGCTAAGTGTCGCAGGGGCCTGCACATTTGTTCAAAGTGCTACTCAATTCATAGCATTCTGCAGCATGGAAATTGACTAATTAAGCTTTGGTTCCGAAGTTGCCTCTTTACCAACTGATACTGCAAATGCATTGGATGGTAACCTTCAGCAATCTAACAGTTTTGATGCGAGTGCCACGCATGAGACATGCACTTCAGGTGATTTAGAATCCTCGGCTGCTTATTCATGCGATTTGCGTGTTGGCAAGGGTTCAATTTTGATGTGAGCTTGCATGAGCCTGCAACGGACGAAACCATTCAGGATGCTCACAGTTTTTCATCGTCAGATTCTTCCAGCCGCGAGCCTAGTGAACATGAAACCAATCAGTTTTGTCATCCCGAAAGTCAAAGTTTGCTGGATGGAAGTAACATTTCATTTTCTGATTTGCAAATTGAGCGCCCTGTTGTCATCGAGATCTTTTGTGGAAGCGCTCGAGTAACTGCCAGATTGAGAGAGGTCGGATTGAGCGATGCTTTCGGTGTTGATCATGATATCAGCAAAGCCACTGCCAGCGCTAAGCAACTGGACTTCACGAAACAATCTGATCAGCGTATATTTTTGCAATGGTTGAGGTCACCACTTGTTGTTGGAATATTTCGGCACCGCCATGTGGAACGTGCTCAATGGCCAGAAATATAAAGCTTAGGAATTCTTGTGGAAAAGTCGTACCGGGCCCCATCCCGTTACATTCAGCTCAGTTTCCTGAGGGATTGATGGGGCTCACTGGGAAGAATTTTCAAAGGGTTTCTGCAGCAAACAAGTTGTATGACTTTGTGGCGCATATTATCAAAGAGGCGGTCGAGCTGAAACTCGTGGTTGCTGTTGAAAATCCACGCTCGTCTTTGTTTTGGATGACGAGGTTCTGGAAATCTGTTTCGGGCTTCTTTGGTTACACAGCACACCAAGCGTGCGCATATGGAGGTGAGAGACCAAAATGGACGGTGTTGGCTTGGAATCACCCTGCATTCAAGCACATTTGTCTAAGCTGCCCAGGTGAGCCTGATTTGCATGTACATAAACCTTGGGGCCTTGTGCATACAGATGTTGGTACACACTTTTCAACCAGTGAAGAGACAGCGTATCCAAAGGGTTTGGCAAGGGCTATTGCTAGGGTCTTTGCAGAAGAATACTTCCAACATACTGAAGAGGCATCATTGCAGGTTATGCGAACGGTGTCCAACATTCAGCCACAGGTGGCAAAGATGCCACCTGTTGCCAGGGAACACAAACAAATTGTTGTGGTGCGAGGCTCTTTGGTAGACTTGAGTCGTGCCCCAGTGGGGCCCATGCAACGGTTGAAATCTGTTTACACTCTTCCAGAAACTTGCAATTTTTATTTTTCTGTTTTACCTGAAGGTGCACAGCTTTTACGTGCCACACCTTCACTTTGCTGGGCGGGCTCTGGTGGCGCACCGGGTTCTCAGCTGACGCCGTGGACGCCGCGGCTCTTTGCGTGGCAGGCGTGGCACTTGGTGGCAGGCGTGGCACTTGAGGCACTTTGCGTAACAGGCAGGGCAATTGGTGACATCCACCTTCACTTTGCGTGGCAGGCGTGGCACTTTACGGCGTGGCACTAGGTGACAGTCGTGGCACTTGGCGACATCCACTTTCGTTTCACGTGGCAGGCGTGGCACTTGGTCACATTCACCTTCCCAGAGCCTCCAAAAGTCCTTAATTAAGGAGATACCTTAATTAAGGTCTCCAGGATTTTCTTAATTAAGGACTTTTGGAGGAACTTCTGGAGACCTTAATTAAGTTATCTAGCTTTGGTGCTGTTTTAGTGGTATAATGGCTAAGTTTGTGTCAAAATTGTCATATGGTTTTTTTCTTTGCTGTCCTTTGGATTTTTTCTTTTTGCAAAAAAAGTAGGCAATACAAGAACTTCCTAGATTGCTTAATTAAGAGGATGGCTTAATTAAGCAATCCTATTGAAGCAATCTAGGAGGAACAATTTTGGATTGCTTAATTAAATTTAATTAAGCAGCCTAGGTTTTAGTGTTATTTTTCTAGTTTAAAATTCAATGTTAAAATATGACTTTTTGAATTTTGATTAGCTACCTCTTTTCAAGAATTTCTAGCTGGAAACTGTTCCAATCTTGCCTCCCTTTCACTTTGAAGAAAAATCAGCTTGCAACCAAGGGTATTTGGAATGCAACCAAAAGTATTTGGAAAGAAAAAGGAAAACGGAATGTACAAAAACGATTGTGTGCAACGTACTCTTTTCCAAACATTGTCAATGCTCCTGAGACTTTTACTTTTTTTTGTCAAAATGTTTTTGTAGAAGCATTCATGTTGTAAGCCATGCCCACCCACAAAATATGATATATTAAAAAATCTTCTCAAGTACCTTAAACAAACATTTAGGCCTAGGCCCCTTTCAGATGACATATTCCTTACTAGTGAATAGTGAATACTTATATACTAGTTTCTAGTTACTTGCTAGTATAGTTGTGATTGCTGGTTAGTAGGTGATATTCAGTAGGCAGTAGTTGGCAATTAATAATTACAATGGCCCAAGTGCAGAAGCAAAACGTATTGTACCTGCACTCCACAGAGGAGTGTTGTTGAAAACAAAGTAAATTGGAAACTGAAAGTATCTTGTCCAAGTATTCAAATTCGATCCTCACCATGAAAAACACATGGGGGCCAAAGTTGAAACTAAAACCTGTTCTTTTCAAATTGTGTCAGAATATTCAACTTTGAGCCCCACCAAAAATTATCAACTTGGGCCCCACCAAGAACTACAATTTTTAGTGGGACCCAAAGCTGAAGATAAATTAGTTTCCTTTCAAACCTTGACACAAAGTATTCC